GAACAAGGAAAATATTTAGGTATAAAATTAAAATTTTAAGCTCCCTTAGATTTATAACTTCTTCATTAAATACGTCTGCACACAGCAGCCCATAAAAACCTGTAGCAATTAAGTGGTTAAATGAACTGCCTCCCTTGTCAATTTTAAGGGAGTGATTAATATTAGATCGTCCCTTTACTAATTAGACTCTCCCGTGTCTTTCAGCTTTAAAGTCGAGTGAAAATGGAGGCTGTGTGCCCTAAGGAAGCAGGGTGGGCTAAGGACGCTTCCCTCGCCAGGCTGAATTTTCAGCGTGGCACCCATGGAAGGGAGGGCGAGCATCGTGGTTTTCCATGGGAGGTTGGCAGCAGGTGGGGAGATGGCTCTGCACCGAGCTGGAAAGCACTGCGGATGCCGGGTGCCGCTTCATCATAGGCATTGTTGGCTCCTAGTTTTAAAAGGCTTGCAGGTTGTTACGTGTGCGGCGTGAAATCTACAATCAAGGCCGCTGTCTCTTGGCTATTATTCCTTGACACAGGGATGGAGGGTCTGCAGCGGAGGCGAGACTGGGGGTGGCCGGGCCACAGGGCAGGTGGGGCAGTGGGCGGGCAGGCAGGATAAACAGGCATAGTAAAGGGAACGGAGACACCAGCACGATTTTAGAAGCTGCAGCCTGGGCTGCAGAGCTGGGGTGCTCCCACCCTGGCTGTGACGGGGAATCCATCAGATGGAGAAATGGAGCAACCGCTTACAAGGGAAATAAAGAGCGGCAGAGATGGAGAATATTTATATGCCCATCTTCTCACTCCCAGAGAAGACGCTTCATCACAGGGGTCAGCTGCAAAATCACACTTTTCCTGACTCCTGAACAGACAGAAGCTTTTGTTTGGGTTGCGGGGCAGACAATAAGGGTTTCACGGAGCCACCATCCCGCTGGGGGTCACCACCACCCTCCTGCTGCCCAGCCCTGTGGGGGAGGGGCGGGGCCAGAAAGCCTCCCCATCACTGCCACTGGTCACCTCCGTGGCTGAGGGGAGATGAGCCAAAACTCACTTTCTCATGCCTCGGACTAATGTGCACGGCAGAGGCCCTGCTCCAAGCCGGGGACGGATGCGGAGGGCAGGCTGGAGGGCAGGCTGGGCAGGAAGGAGGCTGCCATCCCCACCCAGCACCAGGAGAGTGACCGCATTCACGGGGGAATTTATTAGCCACAGCTTTGTTCATTTTCAACACCCACACCTGAGAGTATTTCTTAGTTGTGAGAGGTTTCACGTTTGTCAAGAATTCCACCTCCCCCTGCAAATCTGCTCGACGGCAGGTAGAGGGATTTTTAATCACGACCTTAAAACATGACCTTCCTTGGGGGGGGGTCTTTCAAGAAACTCAAGCCAGTGCTACATGCCACGGCTTCTGGGGAACTCGCGATGAAGTCAGGGGCAGCAGCTGTGGGACGAGTGAGGCACACAGACTGGGGCCATCAGGCCCGTGGCGGGGGTGGGGGGGAGCCAGGGGACCCACCCAGGGTCGATCCTACGCAGCAGAGTTGGCGTGCTACCCCAGCATCCAGACTCAAACTGTGTCCTCTCCACCCTACCCCGTTGCCTGCACTGTCTACATGGTCCGTAAACGTCCCTGCAAATACCCGGGATGTGCCCTTCAGTGTGACAGGTGGCTCTGGTCCACACGGCCAGCGAGCCTTGTCCTGTCTTCCTGCTGGCAGGGCCCCGCGTCACACGCTCCCTGAAGCTCAGCTAACTTTGGGGGGCTGGAGGTGCACTGCCCACCCACACCTGGGGTGACACCTGGTCTCTCTCCATCTTTACATGGGCAATTCTTGGCTGTGGCAGGCTGGGGGGCACTGCGGGTCCCTGCTCGCGCTGGCAGCTGGGGTGTTTTCTTTGGTCCCCAACCACCAAAGTCAAGGTTGGCAGGGTCACGGGGTTCGTTCATGGAGTGAACGGTCCCTGTGGCCAAATGGCGGCGATGGGGCACAGGCTTAAATTCCGAATCATCCCCCAGGCAGAGCATGGTAAGTCAAGTTGGCAAGAAAGCAAGCCCACCCCAGTTCTGGACAGACAGAACAACGTGCTGCCATCAGGGGCTGCATCTTCAGCTTCCTTCACGGCAGGGACCATGCGAGCCCAGGTCTCTACTGGAAGCCCAGGCAACACCACTTCTCCACACAGGGGGCGGGGGGCGGGTGGTAAAGGAGAGAAGCACCTGCCAGCACAAAGCAGCCTCCGTGGACGCTAGCCTCTTCCAGCTGCTCAGGAATCCGAGAGCTCGGGGAGGCATTCAGGATGGGCAGAGAAACACGGTTCTGGTCATGTGTCTGCCCCTGAACCCAGTGGCAGTCTCCTTTTTGTGGGGAAGGGGTTTGGCTTAACAGTGTAAAATATGACAAAATGATACACAGCGAGCCAAGCAAAGTCCTCCGCCAAGATCCCCCCACCGCCTCCAGGGGCAGCCAGACTTGCTGGGGACGGAAAGGAGCAAAATCATCCCGACCAAAGGGACACCCAGCTACTCAGGAGCTGAGAGCCGGGGCCAGGGGGGCTGGTGGGCCCGGCTTCTCCTCAGCCTCCACCTCCATGAGCAATGCTGAGTTCAGCGGCAGAAAGGAGGAAGTTCATGTTTATTTATGGAGAAAATTCTCTGCCATTGTTGCCGAAGCAGCAGCTCATTCACCGGAGCGTGATATCAACATACTAATCACCATGAAATGCACGGGGGTAGCCGGGGCTAGTAACCTCTAAATCCCCAGATTAAATGAAAAACCGTGGCATTCTTGACTGTGGTGGTATCGGTGATGGTTTTACACCCTACTTAATGTTTCTAACCTTCCCTGTTTCCCCACTTTTTAACTCCACTTTAATTTCCATCCACAGAGAACACAGACGTGTGTTTTTAGCCCATTACCGGAACAAGAAATAAAGTGAGGTGTGGACACCTGGGCCGGATTTGTGCTTGCTCGTGATAATAACAGCGAGCATGACCGTGGTGGCCGAGGCTAGACCCTGTCCTGGGTCCTTCGCACGACTGTCTCAGATCCTGTAAGTGCTGTGCAGGCAGTACTTTCATTACTCTCCCGTTTTACAGAAGAGAAGACAGAGGTTCAGAGCAGTTGAGTGGTGCTGCCAAGACCCAAGCCTGGGGTGGCCAAGTCCAGAACCCCTCCGCACCCCTCCAGGCTCAGAGTGCCGGACAGCAAGACAACACATTCTAATAAAACGTGTGTTTAGGTGGCATTTCAGTCCTCAGCATGATAATTCAGGTTTCTGGTGGCTTCTGCAGCCTGCACCCAGCCCTACACAGGCCTCACCTATCTGTCCCATCTGGTAACTCTAAGGCCCAGCCTGGGTCAGGTGGACCAACCTCCCCAGCACTGTTTGTCTCCATCAGCCCCTTTGAGGAACATGGAGCCACAGGCTTTAAGCCATAAGGGGCAGGGTTTGGAGTGTGACCACTGGGTCTCAATCTTGTCTTGGGCAAGACCTTTCACCTCTAGAGTCTCAATTTCTGCCCCAAGAGATGAGGAGGAATGACACCCACTTGGTCAGCGGCGGGAACCAGTGGAAATGCAGGGAGAGCCCCAGCTGAAGGTGAGCACGTAGCCAGTGCTAAAATAAAACAGGGATGACTGTGGACAAGGGAAAGCACGACATCCAGATGGCTGCCTTCCTGATCCAGCACATGCCACCTCACAGCCTCCAACCCACGGGGCCGGGCACCTGTGTTTACATATATTCACATGGTGTTCCGGAAAACCCTAGGAGATACGTTCTCCTGTTACCCCGGCTTTAAACAGAGGGGGGACGACTTGCCCCCAGTCAGCGTGGAGCTGGGTTGGACATCTGTCTGTATGACCTTGTCCCTCCTAAAGGGGTCACAGGCCATGCCCCTGCTTTACCCTGCAGCCAGAGGAAGCCACCCTCAAAGGCCTCCTGCACATACTCACCGGGGCCACCGTACTCGGGACCCCACTCGAAGGCAGTTTGTAGAACCATCTATGACTGCCTTGCTTCTGAGAAGGGCTGACACGGAGCTCCACGCGCACAGGGATCTCTAATGGAGCCGCCATTCTTTCCCCCAAGTTTACCGCTCCCCCCACCCCCACGAAACCTATAGATGACAATCAGGTTGGTTTTTATGATTTACTGAAAATCAAAGACAAAGGGGGACTTTTTTGTCTTGTTTTTGCTATGACAGGTTTAGAAATTTGTTGTACTACATTGATTCAATTTTCCTTGATTTCAGCCATCTTTCAATAATGCGACTGGCTTCTGCTAGCTGGGTATACAGGAGAAAACCCAGAGGAACTGAGAATATTGAAATGGTTCTACCATTTCCATCTTTGAGACAAATGTTCCTCTCAGAGGAGAGCTGGTTGCAAGCATGTGACTGCTTAACAGTCATCTACACATGCAAGACGACACACACACACTCTAATGCTGTCTTATGAAGACAAGGAAGACATGGGCAGGCCTGACCTCCGGTTTCATCCCAATATCTCAGCTCTCAGAGTTGTCACAAGTGCTCCAGGCTTGGATTTCTTTCTGTTTCTTTAGGCAAACACCCAAACTATGTGGAACCAGGCTGCCGAACGGGGTCTGGCTCATCAGGCACAACGGAACGGATCCTGATGTTGGCTCTAAATCGCAAAAAGGCTCCTTGGACATGTTCCCACACCCCTACTGGTGGCAAATAATAGAGCCCGAGGAGAGAAAGGAGACTCCGTGCCCATCCCCCAACCCCCCACCTCTTAAAAATGGGGGCATTTTAAAACCTTCTGAGAACACACCTTTCAGAGAACACACGGAGGTGTTGGTCATAACTGACTTCAAACAGTAAACACATTCAAAGTGAGTTTCTTCTTCTAACGAATAAATCTGAGTGACATGGAAGTGTTTTCCTCAGAGGGGCACCCCACACCTACGTCCTCCCTGTTCCTGGGATGGAGACCCTGTGGGGAGCAAGCAGGCCCAGGCCCCACCTGCCCCCACTCTGGGCAGCTTGCTTACCTCTTTTTCAATTTCTGCCAGAGATTTGATGGTGATTCCCAAGAGATCAAAGGGCTGCATCTGCAAATACAGACCAAGTCATCCTTTCAAATGGCTGGAAAATGCTGTTTCACATTTGCTTTTATGCTTAACAATTGTGACATCTCAAACCTCCCTATGTGATCTAGCACTTTCTCTACGCTCTTTCAACAGGAGACCCACCACTGCAAATCTGTAGTGATTACACGAGCAAACATTCCAGAAAACCTGGCCGACCCCTGCTGAGTCATCTGTCGGCAGCACCTGGGAGGGTCGCAGCCCTCCTGAGGGACAGTGGCAGTCACTGATGACTTCCATCTCTCCTTTCTCCCTGCCCAGGCCAAAAACCGGTTTGCTCCTTCTGCAGCTGGGGGGACAGAGGGGTACAAGGCTTGGCCACAGCTGCCCTGACCGTGGCATCCTTGTGGTGGGATGGGTCTAAGGAACTGCGGGAGCGAATTCTAGGTCTTTGAAGATGCAAGGTGAAGGAAAAAAAACTGCCTATCAACGATCATTTGAGAACTCAATGGTAGTGAAAAACGGTATCACTGCATTTTAATGTGGGTTTCTATAATTTCATGACGATGGGAGCCTTCTCTGAAAATGCTGGCTTTCCCGCAGCCAGCAGGAGTCAAGTGCACGAGGCAACAAGTCAGCTGGAGGCGCAGAGAGGCCGGGGCTGGACGCACGGTGAGAGGTAAGAGGGCAGTGGGCACCCTGTCCTGGAGGGCACCCTGTCCCGCTCTACGCCTGTCAGCGTTCTGTATTCCTGAGAGGGGCCAGCAACTGGCATCGGAGGACGAACAGGTGAAACCGGGGTCCCAGACAAAAACCCCAGGCCCTTATGCTTCTGAACCACAGCCCAGAGGTCAGCGCAGAGCTAGAGCCCAAGCCGAGCCTGCGGGGATTTCCTGCCGGTGCGGTAGAAAGGCCAGCTCCCGGGTCCACGGACCTGGGTTCAAAACAGGGCGGCTGTGGGTTAGATCGCCGCATCACTTCCTCTCCTGCTCAGAGCAGCGTGGCTGGGTTCTCCCGGCTGGGCTACCGGAGGGGGAGCGAGAAGCGCTCGGAGGTGCCCAGCACCCGGTTTGGCCCGAGCTGCCCGCCTCAAGCACTTGCTGAGTCGGCAGCGCTGGGCAGCGGCACATTTGCGAGGGTGATCTTGGGACAGGGCCACCGAATGAGGCACTCAGCTCCCAGGGCTGCTCTGCCAGTAGCCACAAAACAGTTTGGCTCTCTCCTGCTGCCAGCCCGAGTGACGAGAACGGGGCTGCTTGCCCGCGATCAGCAGAGGTCCAGCTGTTGCATCATTAGGCTCTAACTGCCCCACTAAACTTTCCCGACTGGAGCTGGTGCGCAGGACAGAACAGCCTCTCCGAGGGAGCAGGGCGGGAGAGGCGCCAGCGTCGCCATGGCAACGCGGCCAAGCGGCGGCGGCTGAAGTTACTCATGCCCCGCATGTCACGTCACGAGCATTTTTCAAGATTAAGCTGCTTACCAGAAGGGTTCAGAGGAGGCCTATTATATTTCATGAAAATGGAAACTACAGAGCAGGTCAAATCGCAAGCCGGGTGGTTTTAAGCTGGATCCAAGAAATACAATGAAGGATTCCTTAGCTGGTGCCCAAACTGGGGCCCTCACGGTTGTTAGCTACTCAAAACAAACTTCTGCGAAAAGGATAAAAAACACCCAGAAACAAGGCTATGGAGCCGGCATGGACCAGGACCAGCTGGGGGAGTGGGGTCGGGTGGGGGGCTCCCACCTGGGGGGCAGGTGCCATCCGAGAGAGGGTCCCTGGAGTGCCAGGTGGGGTCTGCAGTGCCAGCCCACAGCCTGCAAGGCTGCGTATGGCGGGCGCCCCTCATGGTCTGGGTTCTGGGCTGCACGCCCAGCCAGCTCACACAGCCCCTCCGTCATCACAGGTAGCTCAGGGGCCCCGGCCGGCTGGTGTGTGTCGTGGGGTCCCTGCGGGCCTGTGGCGAGCGGGTGACCACAGCTGTGGGCACGCACACTGGCCGACCAGCCTGCCATTCGGAAGCCGCCCTCCAATTCGGAGCAGAGAGTGTGGTTATCCCAGAATCCAGGTTACAATGAAAAAATGAGGCAGCCTTCTTTCTGCAAGATGTTGTCATGGTGAAATAAAAAAGAACAAAAATTATTAACCTGAACTTGGGACCCAAGAACATTCACAACTAGTGAAGTTCAGCCCTATTTACCATCACATTTGAAAGAAAAAGGCTCTGTTATGGCTGAATCGGGTCTGTCTCGCTCCCTCCCCGCGCCTCATCCCTACTCTCCTGTCACTCCTCGAGCACCTACTATGTGCAGCGTTAGCTGGAGGGGCCCAGAGAGGAAGCCCTGTCCTTGGGATGACTCGAGGGCAGGGGCCTGCGGGCCGAGCAGAGGGAACACACGCTGGGGGTGGCCGAACCGAAGGGCCATCATGCAGAACACTTACACTTTCTGGAACGCAAGAAAACTTCTCTGAAATCATGAAAGGCACACCATCCATTGCTGTAAGAGAAGAGAAAAAGAGAAAATGGCATTGCAGACACCAGCCGTGTTCAGTGACTTGAGACACTGACAGTACAAGCCAACGTGGGCACAGCTGAGTGGGGCCCTGGGGTGACGTGGGCACAGGCTCCGCCCCTGCACCCAGGACACACACCTGGGCGCCGCACAGAAGTGCAGACAGAGCCGTGGGGGCAGAGAAAGGGCCAGAGCCCACCCTCGGAGTCTGGTCTCTGACCTGTAAGTGGTGGCAGCTCCCGAGGGGCTGGTGGCAGGACAGAGGGGCATGCGGGCAGGGAGGGGACAAAACTGTGCTCTGTGAGGTGGGCAGGGAGCGTATTCGGGAGACATTCTCTCCGCTGATAATGACGCCATACCGCAGGCTGCTGGGCCCACAGGAAATGTCTAGGTTGGAGGAGTGACTTTGGAGTCAGAAAGACCTGGTTTGAATCCTGGCTGTGGGTTTTGGTGAGTTTAAGTTACATTTTAAAAGGAGGATGGCAGGGGGCGCCTGGGTGGCTCAGTCGGTATCAGAGGTCCTGGGCTCGAGCCCCGAGTCGGGCTCCCTGATTGTCCTCCCTGCTCCTGCTCTCTCTTGCTGTTTCTGTCGCTGTCTCGCTCTCTCAAATAAATAAAAATCTTAAAAACAAACAAACAAACAAACAAGGAGGATGGCAGGGCCTGTGAGCAGGGGTGTGTGTGAGCTGGAGGTGCGTGCAGCATCGGACACAGAGCAGGTGGGTGGGCCACAGCACGGCCGCCATGGTTCCCTCTCCGTCTCCTAGTCCCGGGCTTCGAGGCCGACTCGAGGCGCCAGGCTGCTCGAAATGGGACACCAGAGAAAGATGGGAACGGGTCCTAGCAAACGAAAACACGGGGTCAGTGGGCAGTTCCTTTGCCACAGCCCGGAGGGAGATGGTCTTCTGGCCCATTCGGCTTTAGGAGGACACGGGGCAGGCCTGGTGAGGGGGCTCCCCAGGAAGTCGTGTTCTCTGCTTCCCCCAACATCTAAGATGGGTTTTCTCTGGTATACAAGTGGCAGACAATTTCTTTCAGTCCTAAGAAAGAAGAGTCGCAGAAGCAGAAAGAAGGCAGGCAGGAAAAAAATGAGAGAGAGAGAAGTCTGGGACAAATCCTCCCTGATCAGCAAGCTGAGCCCAGCGGCTCATTTTAAGCTATGTTCAGAATGTATTTCAGGGAAGGAAAAATGAAGCCTCCTCTGGTAGGTCTGAAGAAAAGGAAACAGCACAGCTGGCCCCAGCTGCCAGCCTGGAAGCCTCCTTTCTTTGGAAGGCTACTGCCCAAGGTCCGGCCCCAGGCTCAGACAGAGACAGCCACGGTCGGGGGCCTTCTCCCATCTTGGGCCCCTGCGAGCTGCCAGGACTGCCTGGGGGAGCACCGGCTGAGGGCCAGGAAGTGTGACACTTCTCCAGAAAGGAGGTGGGGAGGACGCCCACGGTAATCTACGGCACATCACACGTGCAGACATACGAGTGACATTGGGGCACACGTGCGTGCTTTCTCACATATGGCTGGGAAAACCCATCCTGAACAGACGACCCTTGAAAGGCCACACACCTTCTAGAGAGGGACAGGACAGGGTCCCACCCAAGATCCAAGAAGAGGCCATGCTCCCTTCCCGGCAACTGCCACTACCTGCCCAACTCTGGCTGTGCACCAAGGCCTATCCCACACGGCATTCGGACGCCTGACCCTGACCCCCTGCACCTTCTCGGTCCATGGACACACGCGGGCAGGTGCCACTCAGCACCTGCGGTCATTTCACAGATCGGGGCCTGCTGAGGGCACACAGGTAGCAAGCAGGGCCTCCAAATCCTCTGGCCCTTCCACTGGGTATAAATGGAATTTCTGAGAACAAATCTGCCTCTTCCAGACCAGGACCTTTCAAGGTTTGACCATTATCATGTCCTCCCGAAGTCTCCAGGCGTCCCTTCCACCAGCTCCTTTTGGTCAGACCTACAGGCCAGGAAGTGGGTGTGTGCGAGAAGAGCCCAGTCAGACCCACCACCACCTCCTCCCCAAACCTGCTCCTCCCTGCGCCTTCCCACGCACCGGCCACGTGCCACCCTGCTCCTGGCCATCCCAAGCCCAGGGCTGGAAGCCACAGCCTACTCTGTCTCTCCTTTAAGTCCCACAAGCCCACGGCTGTCACCTGCCAGGGCCACTGTGCTCTCTGCTCTCTGCACACACACACACCTCCTTCTGCTTCTTTCTACCCACTAGACAGATGGCAGCGCCCAGAGCAGAGCTCCCTTCACAAGCCCCACGGACTGCGCTCGGGAAGCAGGCTGACCAAATGCCTGGTGAGTAGTTTTTGGTGAGCACATCTTTAGCCCACATCCCCACCCTGGGCACCCCTGACCATTCACTCACTAGGCTTTCTGTTTTAAAGACCTTATTCGTGTCTGGGGGCTTCTGATGAGATAGGTCAAGAACTCCCCATCGCTGCTAACAGTGCTTCCATCTGAACGTCAGGGTGGGTTTAGAGAACTCGTATCCTGAAGGGGAAGTAGGGTGACCTTCTACAGCCTGATCACCCCTGAAAACAAGAGGCCCGGGGAGCACGAGCAGGGCAGAGAGGTGACTCCATCCTGTCCAAGACTGGTAGCCACACCAGCGCCCCACACAGCAGGATTCCCAAGGGGGGTCCTCACTGGCACAGAAGGACCTGCAACCCCTTCACAGGAGGCCCCTTCCCCTCATACTCCTTATGTCGACACCTGGCTGGTCTTCTGAGGTCTGCTCTCAGTGCCTCTCCTGCAGCAAGCCTCCCCAGAGGCGCCCCGCGCCCAGGTCCCCGGCCACGGCCACATCTCTTCTTGGGCAGTGGGCTTCCTGGCAGTCCACGTATGAGTCACAGCTGCATTCCTGTGGCCCTGGCCCAGGGCCAGGCCTGGAGGCGCTTGGGCAGGGAGGGCAGGAAGGTGACTGCTCCCACAGAACTGGCCTGAGCATGGGGGCTCTGGCCTGGGGCATGTACCTAACCCCCTGAGCGTTTGGTGAGCTGCTGACAAAAGCCATGGGTTTCTGGAAGAAGTCTGGGAATCGCCTCTAGGAACTGGGGAGATTAAAGCAGAGAGGAGTATTTTGATCCTTAAAATTTTTTTTGCACTTTAGTAAAAATTTAGTAAATTTTGTTGAGCTGAAATGCACATAATATAAAACTAATCATTTTAGAGTGAACACTTGGGCGGCATCTGGTCCATTCACAATGTTGAGCAACCACCATCATTCCCCAGTTCCACAGCATGTCCCCCCCTTCCAGAGCAACACCCTACCACTCAATACTTTCCCTTTATCCCCCCGAGAGTGTGTGTTTCTCTCTCCTTCCAACTGATGGTCATGTCTTTGAAAAAGAAAGATCTGGAGAGAGAAGACTGGCTTTCTGGACCGTGGTGGCCCAGTCTCCTGGAATGTTGCATTCCTGCCTCGTGGGTTATGGTGGGGGAAGGGAAAGGCAGGTTTGCCCAGATTGATCCTTGGGACCTGGAGTGCTGTAAATAAAAATTGAGGAGAAAAAGACCCAGAAAAGGGATTTGTAAAACTTGGATACTAACAATAGCATTTTTATGTGTGTGTGTGTGTGTGTGTGTGTGTATTAAAAAAAATGCACCTTTACATCAGGCATATTTATAGGACAGGTAATAAATACATATACATATATATGTGTGTACGTATATGTCTACATGCACACACAATTTCCAAAAGGCCCCCTCTTAGCTTCTAAGTCAGACTAGAGAAAGTGAGTAGAGACTGGCACGGCCACACCTCATAGAGTTTCTGAGCCACCAGAAGGGGGGTTCATTCAGAGGCGCCTCCTGTTCACCTACAGCCCATCCCCCCACCACCTCATTCCCCAGGTGAAATCCTCACTCCCAGACCTGGAGAATGATGGAGATTTGCTGGGGCCAAGGGCCAATGCCCCATGTGAACAATGAAGGTGTTTGGTGAGGGCACGCCTTCTGGTCCCTGGGTAGGCTCCAAGGTAATTTCACAGAGCAACTTCTTGAGGAGGCTGAAGGCAGAAGACCAGAAGCGACATCCTATGGGACCACACCAAAGACAGCCCTTCTGGAGAGAAGAAAGGGAGGATGGACCCCCAAGACTCTGTGAGAAAAGGCAGCTGTGGCCTTCAGGGTGCCCTCCTGATGGGCTCGGCAGCAGAGGAGATGATGGGGAGGACCACTCAGACCCAGTCTGACCCCCAAAGGGAGCAGCCTGCTGACGGGAACTTTGGGATAAATTTCCACCGTATCTTAAAGTTCATGACAGAAAGATGAGCACAGTCAGATCCTTCTCATATTCTCTTAGAAAACAGACTTTAATAGTCTTGGAAGAAAAGAAAGCAAGTCGCTAGGATCCTATGGGCTGATAGCTCCCAATGGAGCTGGCGAGAGAACAGGATGCTCTCACCCATGCATGGAGCCCCTTAAAAGGGGAGCCAATAAAGTTTGCTAAACAGATAATCTGCTGGCCAAATTTCATTTATTTAAAAAATCTAGTGTATCAAAGATTATGGTAGGCTGAAAGAATGTGGATTTTAGCAAAACATTTGACAAAATTTCTCATGTTACCCATGTGGACAAGTTGGATAAATATGACTGAACAGTGTTAAGAAGAGGAGAATCCACAACTGGTTGGACTAGATGTTCAAGAAACTGATTAATATATTGATGTTGACCTCAACTGACCTCTCTGGAGGGTACCCAGGGCATTAGCAATTAGTTCAATGAAGACATACATAGTAGGCCTATCTCAGATGTGGCTGATGGGGAGTCTGGGAGGACAATCTATAAGCTGGATAACTGGGAGAAATCCAATGAAGATCCCCCCAAATCGGGATCATGGTCTAAATTTAAGGATGGGATTTACTACAGATCAATGCTAGTAAGTCCTGTACTTTAGGTCCTAAAAACCAATTGTATTAGATGGAATGAAAGACATGTGGAATAACAGCAGAAGGTATGAAAAAGACTTGTAGC